AAAGTATATGCTTTACTTGCAGTGTATATGCTTTCTATGTATATTATGTATATTAAGTTGTAAATATATATATATATATATATATATATATATATATATACTGCTGTCAAATGTAGTGTGTTAACCCATGCAATATATTTTTTTTCAGTTTAACGTGTTAAAGATATTTATCACAATTAACACAGTGGTGGAGCTATGGTTAGCCACCCCGCTCACAACTGCTGCTTCTTGACAAGAATTGCATTCATTAAGACGCGGAAACATCTTTGCAACCACATCGAACGGGAGACTTTTCAGACACGCACTCTAACTTCACCTCAGCACCAGACGCTAGTCAAACAAATGCAGAAAATGTACAGGTGATGAGTAAGCTTCAGTAGAACATCAGTAAACTGTGGTCAGATGAGATGTTGTCAGGCCGTATGTCAGTAAAAACTAAGTTTCCTGTCCTGACAGTCGTTAGACTGTGCCCGTAGCACATGCTCTTCAATTGAACGCACAATATTAAAAAACAAATGAAACTACAAGCATGCAATGTTGTAGTTATGTCATCTGTTATGTCATGAAGTTACCCAAAAGGTGATTAAAGCTGCCTTAAAAATGTGCATGCATGTGAGTATTTATTATAAACGAGTCACATTTAAGAACATGTCTCTGAAATGCAGGGCTGTTCTGGAGCAGCCCAGCACTGCCTTGCTCATCTAACACACCCGAATCAACTCGTCAGCTCCTTAGTAGAGACTTTAAGACTTGAAGCATGCCAGTAAAGGTAAAGAGTTGTGAGAAAATACATGTCAGATCCACGTCACATTCAGCAGCGGCATCTCTTAAAGTAATAGCAGCCAAATAACCTTATAACCAGCTGCTGTGACGTCTGTTAATCAAAGAACAAAAGAAACAAAGAGGAAATCAATAACATTTGTAGCTTTCAGAATTCATCTATATTTAATTTAGAATTTAGTGTTTGATACATTTATTTAATTTCTGTATATTTCCTACTTGCTGAAGGGTACAGGTAAAATATGACATTTATTATAATGGGTTTATGTGAAGATTGATTTAAGAAGAATTAGAAGTTGTTATTTTTTAAAGTCTAATACAATTTAAAATTGATAGCTCGGAATTATACTGTAATGTCGAATGGCTATAGTCAATGGTTAAATATTAGGAAAAAGAAAACAATTTCATATACTGGCCTTCAGTCATAAAACATATGTCATTAAACAAATATTTAAAATATACTGTATGTTGTTTCTACATTAATTTGAAGATTGAATGTGAAATTATTGCAATATAAATGTACAGTATATTTAAAAACTTTAATGTTAGGTGAGATTAATCGTGATTATTATTATTATTTTTTTAAACCTCAGAAGTTTCTATTTAGAATTATGTTTTCGGGGCATTGAGCTCTGTAGCCAATCACAGACACAGCTGTTGATTTCTTGAACGTTCTGATCTTCTTTCGCATTCAAGTTCAAGTCAAATTCATTCACCGCTCAAAAATCCAGATTGTTTTTTTGACTCATGATTCATAAATCCTCTCAACATCAAACAGTGTGTAAACACGATGTCGAGAGCTTTATTGATTATATTATAACAGAACATGTAATCGAGAGCGAGATTGAGATTGAGAAATGTGGAGTTCATTTTCAAAACTGCAGTGATTGATATAGGGATAACCATAGCAATGGACGGGAGAAACTGGAAGAATTTCTGAATTTATGTAAATGAATTATGTAAAATTAGGGAGAATCAAATTATAAATAATTTATTGCTATTGTGTTAATATGTAATCATGTGAGCAATAGAAAATAACTAATCTGATTATGGGTATTTTAAAGTGTAATATAATCTAATTACAAGTACTTAATTTTTGGAATCTGATTACATAATTAGGATTACATGTAATCAGTTACAACACAGCACTGCTCACATATTACATTTGCAGTATCAGTAATAAACACTCAATTTTCAGTTAAAGGCAGTTCATCATTGAATTCATTGATGTCATCCTCCAGCTCAGTTCAGTTTAAATAGTATCTGTGCTATCAAGTCGACGATATCGCTGGAATTTAAGTGTCCCCAACTGAGTAAGCCAGAGGTGACAGCGGCAAGGAACCAAAATACCATCAGTGACAGAATGGAGAAAAAACCTTGGGATAAACCAGGCTCAGTCTGGGCGCCAGTTCTCCTCTGACCAGACGAACCAGCAGTTCAATTCCAGGCTGCAGCAAAGAAGTAAGCCAGAGGTGACAGCGGCAAGGAACCAAAATTCCATCAGTGATAGAATGGAGAAAAAACCTTGGGATAAACCAGGCTCAGTCGGGGGCCAGTTCTCCTCTGACCAGACGAACCAGCAGTTCAATTCCAGGCTGCAGCAAAGTCACATTGTGCAGAGGACTCAACTGGTTCCTGTGGTCTTGTGTGAAACAGTGTGAAACTATGTGATGTTAGAACATTACATCTAGATGCTAGGCAACAGTCACCCAATCGCCTGCATCATATTCACGTGCTTTGGACAGTCACGGAAACATAGAGCATTGTATAAACATCGTTTCATCGTTTGAGTGGAAGAAATGTCAAATGGTGACAGATTCATCCTTACCGTCTGAAAGGCCATTCTGGAAAACTTGATAGTGCAAATATATAACATCGGGATGCACAACTCTAGAGCTGTTTTGTATGTACAGTATATATTCCAATCAATGTCACAGCAAATATGCAAATAAGAACATTAACCTGAGATGAGTGTGAAACGTCAGATTACGAATACCCAGGATTAATTGTTAACCCCGGTTAAATTATGAGCAGTGTGAAACGTGAAGATAACCCAGGATTCCCTTTACCTGGTTGGCAGCCCAGTGCCAGTTTTATCAATCTTACAATATATGTATTTTAATTAATAATAGTCTCTCTCTATTTCTTGTTCTCTTTTAGCATGGTTTTTAAGACTCCTCCCGGTTGTGCTTTTCTTCATCTGCTACTATTGCTCCCAGTTCTACTTTGAGAGGTTAGTGCCGTTACCTGCTCTGCATGGTATCGAACACATTATGTTTTCATTGGTTATTATTATTTTTTTGTTCTTCTCAGGCTGAGACATGCAAAAGCTCTCAAGGTGTACTTATGCTAACTACTGATTTGTTCTTTTCTTTAAGCTATGGAGGCAGCGGAAAGTCCCCTCTGCCCACTGTTTCTCTATGTCACAACTATCGCTTGCAGAGGAAGTGGGAGAGTCTAAAATTAAAGTATGTGAACCCATATTCACATGTATAACCTGTTTTGGGGAAACTAGCTTACCGAGCTTGAAAATTGGAAATTAAGATTCTGTCATCATTTACTCACTCTCATGTCGTTCCAAACCTGTATGACTTTCTTTTTTTTGTTTGTTTCTGTGGGACATAGGATAAGATGAAATACATTTTTAGTAGCATTAAGATGTGTAAGCTTGTCAGCCTTTTTTTTTTTTTTTTAATAAAAATAATTTCCTTAAAGGGGTCATATGATGCGATTTCAATTTTTCCTTTCTTTTTGGAGTGTTACAAGCTCTAGGTGCATAAAGAAGATCTTTAAAGTTGTAAAGACTAAAGTCTCAAATCCAAAGAGATATTCTTTATAAAAGTTAAGAGTTGTCCACGCCCTCCTAAAAACGCCTCGTTTAAACATGCCGCCACGTCTACATCACTGTGTGGAAAGATTTGCATAACGCCGCCCAAATGTTCACGCAAAGAAAGAAGGCATAACTTTTATTTTCGCTGTAGTATTGTTGTTGCCGCCGCTGCCATGTCGTGAAGGTGCTGTGTGCTTCGTTGTGAAAGCGAAACTACTTTGTTTGGTCTTCCAAAAGAGGACGATATCTGCTTCGTCATGCCTAGAGCTGATCCGTGCTGGTCGTTGAGGAAATGCATCAACTTTGCGCTGTGGATCGTCGGATCGGCTTTCGAGTCCAGTGGAGTCCAGCCCGGGGTCGTCACATGTGGTTGCCGCAAGCCTTCTTCGTCGAATCCGCCGGGCGCCGCTCACACAAGCCGCTGTGTGTTTCGTTGTGAAAGCGAAACTACTTTGTTTGGCCTTCCAAAAGAGGACATAATGTTTCTATAAAGTGGGGCAGTTCCAACTTTGCAAGGACAGTCTGGCGCTTCTGACTCACAGCCTGTAAGTAAGTTTTTTATATTTAAAGAATTTGCCACTGATGGTTCAAACGTGAGTTTTGAGCAGTGTAGAGTAGCGCTTGTTGTTTGTCATTTCTCCGATCACAAATGCAGACATGGTTTTATGTTTACGCGTATTTGCGTATTTGCATTGCGCAATACGCAATGCAAAGTGTAAAAACACAGTATAAGTCATTATAATAAGTAATTATGTCCCCACTGGATGCAACAAATGCCTCGTTTGTAATGGGTTTTATTGGTTTTGTCTCGTCACACCGGAACACATGGGAACACAGTATGGTGAGGGGCGTAACATTTCCGTCACACGCTTGAGGTATTCAGCCAATCACAACGCACTGGATAGCTGGCCATTCAGAGCACACCTCGCTTTTCAGAACGATGAGCTTTGTAAAAATCGACGCGTTTCAGAAAGGTGGGGCATAGAAGAGAAACAATAATGTACAGTATGTGGAAAATAATGTGTTTTTTTAACCTTAAACCGCATAAACATATTTCATTACACCAAATACACAAAATAATGTTCTTTTTAGCAATATCATATGACCCCTTTAATCTGAGTGGTTCAAAACTGTGTGTGTATTTATATATACATAATAAATATACACAGTACACACACATATATTATGTAAACAAAAACTTTTATTTGGGATGCAATTAATCGCGATTAATCGTTTGACAGCACTAATCTAAATGACCTAAAAAACAAACAAACAAAAGAAGTACATCATTTTATTGTTTCCACTTTTCTGTACTGTTAGTTACATTCTTATTGTTACGTTAAGGTAAGTTGCATTCCTACTGTTCTGCCCTGGTCAAAAGTGAAAACGAATGGCCAAAGTGTGACCATTGTTGAAAAGCTTAGGAGGGTTGAATAGCATTTGAATAGAATTATTACAAATTGACATGCCACCTCTTGCGGATTGGCATCTGTGTTTTCTGTATTGTAGTGTTCTCCATGTTATTGGTTTACACAACTGGCTACTCCCCATCTGTGCATGTAGAGTCTCACCATTCTCCATCTGCAGTTTCACCTTTTGCATGTATTTGTTTATAGATTCGCCTGCTATCAGATTGGGCTGCTAATGCTATAGATTACTGGAGACCTGTACAGTGTGCTGAACATTATCAATGTCCATGATATTTAATGATTTTCTGATCGTCCCTGATTCACGTTGCTATCAGATCTTGGAAAACCAACCTTTTAGTATCAAAGCAAAAATCATAGTGTTTCAGTTCAGTCTTTAAACCAAGGAACATTCAATGGCAAAAGCTTGCTCAAAAGACAGATCTGTCCAAATTAATTCAGCCCTGGGAATGTGGGACCCACTTTACATTAAATTAATCTTTCACCCAATAACATATTTTGATTTAAAAAGCTGTGCATGTGTCAAAAATGACCCGCCAACAAAACTCCCTTATATATATCTTGTTATGCTATTTTATTTCCAAATATTGGATTACATTTTTTTTTATCAACTTGTTTTATTTCAAACAGCACAGGTTTTGTTTTTGTTTTTTGAAAATCATTGATTGATCATAGGCTTAATTAATCTGAGTGTATGCACCTCAGTTTTTGAGTCAAAATTGACAAATTAATCCACAAATAATGCTTTTGTTTACTCAAAAACTGAGGTGCATGAGCTCAGATCAACTTAAAAGGTTTTAGCTGTTAACAGTTGGCCAACAGTCTGGGGCAATGTATTCAAAACGGTTTACTCTGTCACAGAACTGGGTGAAAATGGACAGCTTTTTTCCTAACAGCAGCTTTTAAAAGCCATCAGGATTTCTCTTGCAGCTGGTGTAGCCAGAGAATAACAGGGCACTTAATGAAAAAGGACACTCCTCTCGCTCTCGGGCGGTGGGAGTGTGTTAAAGCCTGGCAGCACTGTAAAACCAACACATCCACGTTTCTGGCTGTGCTGTTTTGACAGACTAGCTTGGTTAACCCTAACATGTCGGTCTCAAGCTTTTGAGCATTACACAAAGACAACACAGCCAAACTAGTGCCCTGTGTAATATGTATCTGTGTTGATTGTAAATGGATATATAGTCGTCACAGGACAATTCTGTCATTGTTTTCACATATTTCTGTGTACGTGTGTGTGTTAAGTCTCTTAGGCTCATCAAGGCTGCTGCATTTATTTGATCAAAAATACAGAAATATTGTGAAATGTCTTTACAATTTAAAATAATGCTTTTCTATTTTAATATGCTTTAAAATATATTTGATTTCTGTGCATCATTACGCTATTCTTCGGTGTTACGTGATCCTTTAGAAATTATTGTAATATGCTGATTTATTATCAGTGCTGGGAACAGTAGTGCTGTCAGGGAAAAACACGGATTCAATTAACTCTCAAAACACACAACTCGTCTGGGACTGAAGACCAGAAGCCGTAATTCAGGGCAGAGATTAGAGACCGGAAGAGGGGAACAGTCCAAATGAGCCTCCAGTCACTCCACTAAGCAGATAGGGTAAGGCGTAGGGAGATCAGCGCACACAGTCCAAGCATCTGTACTGACGCAACGTCAGGGCCGAGAGTTCCTTGTTGAGTGCACCGAGAGGGGCAGGAGAGGAGAGGCCATGAAGCACGGTTCTGGTAATGCCAGGGCAGGAACTGGGGAAGAGAAATCTGGTGACACGAGAGGCAGAGAGCGAGCGGAAAAGAGAAGACAAACTGAAAACACTAAACTGTACTTAGAGCCTATGAAAACACGGCAGGACAAACACAACAAGACTGGTAGTAGGTCACAAACGAAGTGTAGCGTGTTCACACCACAACGGTCAGACACAAGACTATACACGAGGGGAACTTAAAAAGAGGGAGAATTAAGGAATTAACAAGTCACAGGTGTGACGGCAGCTAAAGTGGTTAATAAGATAACGATGGGAAGGGAAACCACGAAGACAATGGGTCTCATTCACTAAACATGCGTAGGCACAAATGTTTGCGTGAAATGTGCGTACGGATGTTTTCAGGAATAAATCATGATTCATCAAAAACTTTCATACTAAAATTTATTCTAAATGTACGAAAAAATTCAAGAACAACTTATACCACACGTACGCAATAATCATGTACACCCGGGGCCTTATAAGCATGTGTAAAGAACCCTACATATAATTAGATATGTTATTTACAGGGTGGGTGAAAAGTAACTAGACATTAAAATTGATAATAAAGTATAATTAGAGGTCCAAACAACAATCACCTGATCTATCCTTATATAAATGGTGATTATTGTGTCTCACCTTGTTGTTTGGAGGCATGGCACACTTGGTACTGCTTGAAGACATTGCGGCGCATGCTCTAAGGAGAGAATGCGTCTTTAGAGAGCGCACAGATATGTTTGCTGAGAGTGACAAATGGCTGTTCAGTCGCTTTAGGTTGCCCAGAGAAGTCCTTATCTTTATTGATTTATGCAACTCACTGGAACCACACCTAAGCTATATCACCAACTGCTCTCACCCTATACCACCTTATCTCCAAGTTCTGTGTACTATCAGATTACTTGCAACGGGAACATTTCAAAGTGAAATTGGGGACCGAGCCGGAATTTCCCAACCCTCTGTAAGCCGTGCTATTCACAAGGTGGTAAAAGCTATTGTAGGTCTTATGACAACTTATGTAAAATTTCCTTATGACGTGGCACACCAGATGGTAGATAAGAGGGGGTTCTATGAGATAAGTGGCATACCTAATACGATCAGTGCAATAAACTGTACCCATGTGCGTATGAAAGCACCATCCGCAAATGCAATAAACTATGTGAACAGAAACAATTACCACTCCATCAACGTTCAAATAGTCTGTGATGCCAGCTGTAACATACTAGATGTTGTTGCACGCTGGCCCGGAGGAACTCACGATTCCTTTATTTTACAAAACAGTTATTTAGGACTAGCTGGGGGTGGTGAAGAGGGATGGCTTCTTGGTGAGTAGAAGTGTTCCCAGAATATTTTTTAGTTCATTTAAATAAAGGTTCATTATCATGATGCTTGTTGTAGGTGACCGGGGTTATGGTCTCAAAACATGGCTCATGACACCTCTAGCCAACCCAACGACCCCTCAAGAAGTGCGCTACAACCTGAAACATGCCCGTGCGCGCTCAGTGATAGAACGCACAATCGGGTTACTCAAATCCCGTTGGATGTGCTTGGATGCAGCTGGTGGAATGCTGTTATACAGGCCAGACAAAATCTGTCAGATTGTTTTAGCATGTTGTGTACTGCACAACATCGCAATGGCACGGGGTGTACCTGCTCCTTATGGACCACACGCACAGCCGGAACCTGTGGGTGATGAGATGCATGCACCAGCCCAAGCAGCGCTTCAAGCACGCCTTCAGTTGATACAACGTTTATAATGGTATATAATCTCATTCTATTTTTTTTAAATAGCTTTTGTAGTTTGCTGCAGTGCACATTCTATAAATGAGCAAATGGAATTTGTAAAAGTGCTTTTAACGATTGCAAAAAAGTTTTAGGGAATATTAAAACACATCAGAAAACAGAATTTTGCCACAATATATTTATTCTCATTTATGCACTTCTGTGACTCCCAAGCAATGCTATCAATTTATTCAGTGACTCATTTATTTTCCGTAGGCCAGCTGCCACGTCCTTAACGGCAAGGATGAGGGCATCTTGACTAGCGAGCACCTCATCGGTCAGGACTTGTGCGCCGGTGCGCCTCTGTGAAGGGGTATAACGAGTGGATTGGGAAGTAGACGGCTGGACTTCAGCTTCTTCATTTCCATCTGCTATCTGTGGATGTTCTGCAAAAGCCAGAAGTTTTGAGTTATGATGATTACTTGAATGCATTCCTTAAAATAAAGATTTTGATTTAAGCAAATGACCGTGTTGTAATTGCTCCTGTATTAGGTCACTCTCACCCTCACTCCTTTCTGTAATGCCGCTCAAGCTTGACTGTCCTATAATTGCAGCCATTCTTTCATCGAAGGCAGACAGATCAGGTGCCCCCTGCCCTCCACCCGTGTCTTTTTTTCCTCTGTTGAACTAAATTCTTCTTTTGGCCTCGAACTTCATGTCAAACCACTTTTTTTTTTTTACTTCGGCAACCGTCCAAATTTCTGGTGAAACCACATTAACAGCTTGTGTTACCGTATCCCATGCTTCTTTTTTACCTGTGCCCGTTACGCCAGTGGATAGACTTTTAAATAGCACATTTTTTCTGGCTTCCACCTCCGACAGCAAAACCTCACGTTCATTATCGTTAAAGTTATTTTTCTTTGTCTTTTGTTTCGGTGCCATAATTGTCTTTTTCTGGACGAGTGCCGCTTTGCGGAAAGCCCTTATTTGGAGCTGGTTTGGGCGTGTATTATGCTTATTACTAACCTCGTGCACACGGGCGCTTATTTAGAAGACTCCAAATTCACTAACAGAAGAACGAGTTTAAGAACAAGCTCATGTGCGTACGCACGTGTTGTGAATTAGCCGGAAAGTTTTCGTGAGAAGGTCAAATGTGCGTATAAATACGAAAAACGTATGCAATTATTAGTGAATGAGACCCATTGTGTCACAGTATTCAGCAGGTGTGCCCAGGAGGGCCACCAGATGACTGTGTTCTGTGAGCACATGGCTTGTGTTGTGCTTGTTTGTTGCCATGTGCTCTCTCCTGTCTATTGTCTTGCCGCGGCCATCTTGTTACCTCATTATTGTTTAAGTTGCTCCACCTGTGTCTCCCTCGCTAGCCTCCTCGTTTGGTTTCCTATTTATTCTCCTGGTGTCTGTCATCCTGTGCTGATCCGTCGTTTTTTCATTGTGTGTGTGTTATGACTGCATGTAGTGCAGTTCCTAGCCTGCCTGTCTGTTTTCCCCCCTTGGGGTTGTTTTAGTTTTTTTTTTTTTATTATTATTATTAAAAGAAAGAACCATTCATCCTGCACTTGAGTCCTCGCTTCATCTCTCCACATGCACCATGACACAATGAGCACATGGCGAACTGTCAAAACAAAGACAAAAACAACAACCTGCTGATCAGACCGAAGTCATGACAAGTGCTGCTTAGTATCCATCCATCCATCCATCCATCTATCCATCCATCCATCTATCGGAACCTGTGATACTTTTTGTCAGAATGTTTGGATGAATAAAAGAAAAGAACAGCACTTTTTTATATTAATTTAAAATAGAAGTCTTTAATATAACTTGTTATTAACTTAATACGTCCTTGCTGAATAAAAGTATTAATTTCTTTCAAATGTTAATACTCTTATTAAAAAATACTGATCCCAGAGTTTTGAACAATAGTGTATATTATTACATTTCATAATAAAAAAAAATACATATAATGCCTTTTTTACATTTATAAAACATACGTGTATAAAATTGTATTATCATTAATAGAATATCATTCTATAAAATGTAAACTGCTGACACACACACAAAAAAAACAATTTCCATGAATACATACAACAATAGGGCAATTTATTTTCATTTATTTTTGAAATAAATGGTAAGTAATATATGTATATAATGTGTATAATGAATTATTATCATATTATTATATGATGATATTATTAAGAACAATGTTAATTAATATACACACACACACACACACACACACACACAGAGATAATAAATATTTAACATCTGTTTGGATGCTGGGTTAATTATTAGGACAGTGCTGCACATAATATTTTTTTTCCTAAATTTATCAGAAAATAAAGGTCATTTTCACACAATGAATATTTTTTATTTTTATAATGAATTTAAGATCAAAAGTATGTCATTAAGTCAATTTAATCTATACACAAAGTAGTAAATGTCTAGTGTAGTCTGTATTTGAGTCTGTCTTTTGTTTCACGACACAGCATGAGCCGAAAGACTGAGCTCTTTCTAAAGCTGGGGGATTTCTTCTGGCGGGAACATGTGTCAGCTGAAGCTCTGCCCTATGGTATTAAAGGCAGCGGTATGTACAGTTTATGTTGCTCTGCTCTCTTATAATCTTTCCTTTAATACAATAGTTAAATCTACCGCAAAGTCATTGAGCTAATGCTTATGTTAAATCTGACTTGAGTACATGATCGTATAAATCTTGTTGCTGAAACCTCACATGCCCCCGAAACCTTTCAGTCAACATATAAAGAAGTTAGTCTGTTTGCTCTGTAGTCTGCATGCTTTTACTGCATGCTGCTCATCGTTCTGCATACAATCCAATCATATTGATACATTCATAATGGTGCACTTTGTTCAAATACTTTCTACTTTGTCTCTGCAGAGCTCCTGCTTCTGAAGGTCTTGGCAATGACTTCCAGCTACACAATGCCAGCAAACATTGAGAGGTGAAGTAGGGCTGAGCTGCTTTCACAAGTATCTAAACTCTGAACTCAAGCTCCCATAAGCTTGTAGAAACCCATTCCTAAGAAATGGTCTTTTGCTTCAGTTGCTTATGACTTGTTGCGGTGTGGCGTGAATTACTGCACACATTACAAATGAATTACGGTAATGCTCTTGCTCATGTTCAAAATGATCTTGCTTAGTATAATAACCATTGAAAGGACAGAATGAAATAAGTGGAACAGCCCAAGGGTGTTACTCACAATCCTGTTGCCAATTAATTTGTACTTTTTCATTTGATCAGATGTTTGTTTAATGTTTATTGCTAAAGAAATACAAATTTGCCAAAAATTCACTCACCCTCAGGTCATCCAAGAGTTTGTCTCTTCATCAGATTTGGAGAAATGTTGCATTGCATCAGTGTCTCAGCAATAGATGCTCTGCAGTGAATGGGTGCCGTCAGAATGAGAGTCCAAACAGCTGATAAAAACATCACAATAATCCAAAAGTAATCCACACCACTCCAATCCATCAGTTAACATCTTGTGTAGAGAATAGCTGTGTGTCTGTAAGCGAAACAAATCCATCATTAAGACATTTTAATCAGTTGCTTCCAGCCAAAATACAAGTCCATAATCCATAATAACATTCCCTCCAGTGAAAAAGTGCATCTCCTGTTGTCTCTCACATCAAAATCCAGCCACATATTTGTTTAGAGCTGTTTTTGTCTTGTAAATAGTGCTTGACCTGTGCAGATTTCCCTCCTGATTCAGACAAGGCAACTTTTTCACTGGAGGAAACGTTATTATGGATTATAGACTCATATTTTAGTAGGAAGCAATGGTTTGAAGTTAAAACAATCTTAACAATGGATTTAACAAACACGCAACTTTTGTCTTCTCAAGACATCAACTGGTGGACTGGAGTGGTGTGGATTATTGTGATGTTTTTATTAGCTCTCATTCTGACGGCACCCATTCAGGATCCACTGGTGAACAAGTGATATAATGCTTCTCCAAATCTGATGACGAAACAAACTCATCCACATCTTGGATGGCCTGAGGGTGAGCAAATTATCTTCGGGCGAGTTATTCCTTTAAGCTGTGTTTAGACATTGTAAAAATGTATAATTTAATATAAAATGCATGGGAAATAAAATGGCTTATATAATATTTAGGTTGACAAGCGACATTTTCTGAACTAAAGCACCTCTTTCACTACAAAACAAACTTGTTGTGGCCTGTGTTGTGTACCGCACTCATGGAAAGTGCTCTGTGTGTCAGCAGTTTAGATTGCAGGACGTGTGCAGTCATTGGAAACGGCTTTTCCATAAAAAACAATTCACTGGGGGAGATCATTAACAAATACGACGTGGTGATCAGGTAAATAAAACCTCCACCTCTGTTTGACCTTTCAGTGTTTCTGTTACACTGTCTTTAATTAGCATTTAAGACTCCTCAATATTTATTTTTTTTTAAGACTCTTTTCTAATGTAGGTCCACATGAAAGTTTTATTTAGAGCTTTATGAGCCTTTTAGTTCATTTCTCCTCTCCGTCTCTTGTTTTCCACTGTCCACTGAATATTTTTTCTTTCTATGCACAGCGTGAAAGCCTTTCCATTAGTCTGGCTTGTATTTTGCATTCTTGTTTTATTGTAAGTCTGTTGAGTGGCATATAACAGCCTCACTTAACATTACCTCCTGCAATTAGAGCTCTGCTTGGCTACTGTTTCTCAAGCCGCTTTATAGCCTTGGAATCAACAAATGCCATTTTATTTTTTCTAAGCCTCTAACAAATGGCAGAATTTAGCTGAGTGTGTTTTTCCATGGTCTCTCATCCTCGCTGTGTTCTCAGAAGCTAATCGCGGCGGGGGAGGAGAGACGGGCCGCTTGACATTTGGTGTTGAGTTACAAATCCTGATGCTTCGAAATCGCCATTAGGCAGAGATTTGAGCAGAACACTAGCTCCTCTCCAATCTCATTTGTGAGAAAAAGGGCGGTTTTTCCTGTACGGATTCACGTGAAAAATAAGTTATAATGTGGGGGTTAGTTGATAAAGATGTGCTTTTAGTGTCTCACGCCGAGTCCATGACGTCCATAAAACTGTGGGGAGCAGGGATAATTGTAAAACTTTTGGTTATGCTCATTTAAAAAAAAAAAAAAAAAGGCTTAAAAGTTTTAATTTTGCCCATTACACATATATGACATATTTTATATTTTAAATACATATTTGAAATGCATGTATCATGCCCATCCCTGCTTGTTGGTACATTCAGCAGTAACTTTAACCATATTTCAAAGACAATACAAGTAATTATGAAATTACTTATAAAGACATACTGAAGTCCTACTTAAGTGGGTCAAAAAATGCACTTAAGTTCCACTAAATACATTAAATTTAAACTTAATACATTTTCATTTAATTTTAAATAACATGCAGTTAAGTGTCTTTAAACATTACATTCAGTGCACACTTTAGTATATTATTTTTAAGTTTAATATTTCCGTAATAGTAACTGATTAAAAGTGAGCTAAAGTTTTAAAGGGTGGCTCTTCACAGTTTTGAACATCCTTGATCTTTTTATCAGAGAGGACCCTCCACTCCCAATGGCGGATGTCTTGGCAGTAAATCTCCCATTGTGTTGCCATTGTTTGTTTTTAAGTAGCCTTGATAGTGTTTCATCACAGGCTTGGCTCTGCCTCAGGAATGTGTGCTAGTGCAATCTACACAAATGACACACACCTGTGGCCTGTAGCGCGGAGCAAGATGAACAAACTCAGAGTTGCAGAGTACGTTTTGAGTTGACAAAACCCGCTAAAGCCAGCCTGGTTAAGATCAGGTTCACCGGGCTCACAAAGCTCGATATAAACGTTCTCTGTCAGCTCAGAGTTTCAACCAGAGTTTGTGATTAACTCTGTTTGGCAGCAGAAAGAAAATATATGACTATGCAAAGGAATCAACTGAATTTAATTATTTATATATAGCTTCACACAGAGCTCAAAAGAAAAACATATGTTTAGTCATTTTAAAAGTTGGATATATTAAAGCTTTATCTATCCATCCATCCATCCATCCATCTATCTGTCTATCTGTCTGTGTGTTTAATTTAAATACGATGTTTACAATGAATTGCCTTTATATAATAATTATATGAATATATTATATAAAAGATAAACAATTACAATTAATATAATATAAATATTATAAATAAGTAGCTGCAAAAGTCGGGCAATTTTGTCTCTAAAACTGCCTTAATTTTGGAGCGAGAGATACGGGGGAGTGGCTTCATTGCATCAGATATATGTCACTTTGCTCACAGCTGATTGGTCTAGTTTGGATTTGCAATCAAGCTAATCAAGCTCTTACTAGGCATAGAAACTTCCAGTCAGGTGTGTTGGAGCTAAACTCTGTAGGACACCAGCCCTCCAGGACCGAGTTTGGACAGCCCTGGACTAGGCTCTCTAGGCACATTAGTGCCAGCAACTATGGCAGTGATCTCTAAGACCTCTTTCCAATATACTTCCAAATCAGGGCAAGACCACAGCATATGTAGGAGAGTCCCTCTATCCGCTTTACATCTAGGACAAAGCTCTGAGTAGGAGCTTTTAAAGGAGTGCAGTCGAACTGGGGTGTAATAAACTCTATGTATCACATTAAATTGGATGAGTTTATGACAGCTATTGATAGAGAGAGTCTGAGCATCCTCACATATTGTTTCCCATTCATCATCAGTGAATGAGCACTCCAAGTCTTTTTCCCACTTAGATTTGACGTCACAGATATTACCAGCCATCAGCTGCAACAACTTGCCATAGATAAATGTAATGAGACACTTAGGACCTTTTTTCCTCAGACAAGATAGCCTCAAGAGGTGAAAGAGGGAGCTTAGATAAACGGCCACCTTGCTGGGTCTGATTGTAGTGTCTAACTTGTAGGTATTTAAAGAAAAATTTAGAGGGAAGGATACATTTCTGTTGATATTGATAAATTATGACCAGTACCAATTTGTTTCCGCTGTTATCCCTTAATTGGCACGTTTTCAACTGTCCCATTACACACATTACACAGCTCTGATTTTATGATGCCGAGTTAAAACAATATATATAAAACTTTCCTTCACATACATTTTTTTTAATTAAATATATGTAGCAGCTTCAGTTCACTTATCAAAATAACAAAAGCAAATCTCAAAACCGTCGATGACAAAAAAGTAAATGTAGCAATTTGTATCATTGTAAAAATGTATCAGTTCTATCAATGTAAAAAAAACTATATCTGTACAATCTGTACAGGAGATAAAAAATATGTTTAAATACTTGATTTAATGACAAAGAACTTTGAACATACATTTATAAATAAGCTTTTGTTCACTTTTTTCTGTCTCAGTTTGGATGTAGTAAAACACATACAGATGTAGCACAAAACATGTTTGCATTTCTTCTGTCACTGACCATGATTCTGGCTAGGATTGGGCATGAGATACTGTGATGCATGTGAAAATGGACTGAGAATTGAACAGATAGTTGTGATGTGGCTCAGAGGAAGATAGGAATCATGTCTTTGTGGTGTTTTTCTGCTGATTAAGACTTCTTCACCTTACAAATGGTTGCCAAACCACACACACACACACACTCACACTCACACACACACACACTCACACACACACACACACACACACACACACACACAAATGCTATGAAATGCACATCATGTTTTATGAGAAAGCATGAAACAGCCACAATTTTTGGAATTGGCACCAAAAATTTGTAAGATACAAATACTGGATTTCATTCAAAAAATACAATGCTGGAAGGAAGCAATGCTGATTCCGACTCTCCAAATCTGATTTGACCTTTGACCTTATTATGCACTGCTCCCATATCTTTCTGTGTCAGGCTGAATGATGCGCCGGTCAGAGGCTATGAGGAGGACGTGGGTAACAAGACCACGTTACGTCTGTTTTATCCCGAATCTGCCTCCTATAATCCTGGTATCCACAATGACCCAGGCACCCTGCTGGCCCTGGTTCCTTTCAAGCAGCAGGACCTCCGCTGGCTCAAAGAGATCCTGTATGATGAGAAGAGGGTCAGTCTGTCTCATTTTTTTTCCCTCATGTGCCAGCATGCACCTGGTTTCCCAGTAATCATGAGGCGCTGTGCTCGATTTAGGTCCGAAAGGGTTTCTGGAAGCCTCCTCCCCAGATCTGGCTCGGCCGGGCCAGTCAGATCCGTGTTCTGGACCCATATTTCCTTCGCCTGACAGCCAGCAAGCTGCTTCAGATCATTCCCCTGCAACCGCGCAGACAACAGGTGAGATCTGCACACACGGCCAGGACTGAGGGAAGGATAAACACTTGTATTGCCATGGAAACGCTCTAACTTTGGCAGAACAGATGTTCCAAATAATAGGATTACTTTTGGTGTCATTTCAGACATGCATATGTAGTGCCATTTACATATTTGATAGTAATGAAATGTTTGTATTGAGACTTTGTTCCAAAACCTGATGAGTTCGCTGCATTTTAATGCATCATATATGGATTCTTGACATGAAAATTAAGTGCATTTTAAGGCATCAAAAAAATGAAACAAAGAAATTAAATAAAATAAATAATTTTTTTTAAGTATAAATGTGTGTGTTTATATATATATATATATATATATATATATACAGTGGGTACGGAAAGTATTCAGACCCCCTTAAATTTTTCACTCTTTGTTATATTGTATATACATACATACATTTTAAATTATATTATTTATTATTATTTTCTAAACTATTTATAAATAAAGAAAACATAATTCCATTGAATTAACAATCATTTTATCCAATATATTTTAAACTTCAAATCAGAACTGAGTCTCCTGTGCTTTGTGGGAGGAACACTGTATTTGCATTATGGAAATCAGACACACAAAGACGTTTCTGATTGCAAATCTTCCAGGTGACACTGGAAGACAATACATTTTTAGCAGACAGATTCCATGCAAATGTTTTGGAGGCTTGAAGCTTTTTAATCTTTTTGAAAGAAGTCTCATTTATTTGATCAAAATTACAGTAAAAACGGTAATATTGCGCAATATTATTATAATTTTAAATAGCTGTTTTCTACATGAATATATGTTAAAATGTAGTTTATTGTTGTGATGCGCAGCTGTATTTTCAGCATCATTACTCCAGTCTTCAGTGTCACATGATCTTCAGAAATCATTCTAATATGCTGATTTGCTGCTCGAGAAACATTTCTGATTATTATCCATGTTAAATATTTTTTTTGTGGAAACTGATACTTTTGACTTTTCAGGATTCTTTGTTCAAAAGAACAGCACTTATTTGAAATTGAAATCTTTTGTAACATTATGAATGTCCTTGCTGTCACTTTTGATCAATTGAGTGTGTCAGTGAAATTCTCTTTAAAAAAAGAAACAAAATGAGTCTTACTGGCCGCAAATGTTTGAATGGTATCGTATGCCTTTGCTTTTCGTTTGCGTCACTTACAGTAGTGAAGGTCAGACTATCATTCTTACAGATCGACTTTAACCATAAACAATGCTGTTTTTAATAAAATCACAATCCAGCTGGCGAGAGTTCCGCTCAGTAAAGCCAATTTTCACTCGCATGTGTTAATGTTGGGTTCTGCTTGTTTGTCAAAGAGAGCCAAGAGGTTTGTCTGTACGCTCAATTATCTGTAGTGTTTTTCGAATCAGAGTCCACATGTGTCCTGATAAACCCACAGAGAATTACGATTAGAAATGTGTCTGTTTATTTCTGCTCCGTGCCGGGAACAGCCAGGAAACACAAGAACAAGCTCAAAGTGCATCGCACTTCCTCCCCACCCAACTCCTCTCTCTCTCTCTCTCTCTCTCTCTCTCTCTCTCTGTGTCAATCTGTCTTTCTTTATCATTAAAAACTTTTTTTTTTGTTCAGTGGCGGAAATGGGCTTCCATATATTACAAATAACTAAAACTAAAACTATAAAAAAACAATTTTTAGCCTGAGATAAAGTAAACATTAACTAAAATAAAACGTTTCTTTCCACTAGCTGCCAAGGCATCACTTCTAATTTTATTTTAGTTGTTAGGTCTTTAAGAACTAAAATACTAAGTACTACAATAACTAAAATTGAATGAATGAATGAATTAATTAATGACAAAACCACGCAACCAAATTATCAAAACTTTAACAAAATTTGAAGTGAAAAATGAAAATGGAAAATATATAAATTAAAACGAATTAAAATATTAATATAAATTAGAATAGTATATCAATGATACTACAATAATACAGCTTATAGATACCAAGAGTTTAATAGTAGTAGTAATAATAATAATAATAATTAATTAATCTATTTGTCTGTCTGTCTGTCTATCTATCCTCTGTAAAGTTGTGGGTATTATTATTATTATTTATTTATTTATTTATTATTATTTTTTAAAGGGCACAACAATTATGTAGACACTTAAGCTCCACTTAAATATCAAATATTAAATATATATATATATATATATATATATATAAAATATAATATACAACTAGGTGATGTTAGTCTTGATTCTAATTGAATTCTATTTCTAATGAACAAGAGACAGATCTACTATGTTTGACAACCAGAAAGTGTCAAAGTACTGTTTTCTTCAGTTCAATAGCACATGCGTAGTAAAACTTAAGAAACGTGATATTTGTAAGTGTTGTTGGTGTTTAACAGTGCTGTTGCATAATGTTTACATCTACATTTGGAAAGGAAAGGTGATGAACTCTTGTTCTAATGATGAACATGATGAAATGGTGACAGTGTTGTGGAAAGGGAGGCTGAGATGCGCGATGTCTTTGCGGAGATGTATGAGCGTGTTTTGTGTGGGAGCGCACAGATCAGTAGCTGCGGAAATCATGGAGCAATACGGAAAAGCTAATGACTTGGAACGAGAATGAGAAAGAGAGAAAGAGAGAAAGAGAGAGAGCGAGAGAGAGATTGACGCAACTTAAGCAGTCAGGGCTGGAAAAACCAAGATGCATTACCTTCTTTTACTACTGTAAGTGGAAAGTTTCCAACTTAAAAGTTGATGTCTGGCAATTATTTACAGAGAATACATTTGAAATGGTTTATTGCATTGTTTTGATGGCATCGTATGTGTGTGTGTTAAACGTTTTTACAAAGTTTAAAACCTCATAAAATTGTTGAAAAGCACAGTTTTATGTCCTACGTTGACATGTTTCCTATTAAAGCTTGTGCGGGACATGAAAGAGCTTATTCTTCACCTTTTTTATTTTTTAATAGCCAATAGGTTATGGTACACTACAGGCTTATTTCGAGACGTCTACAAGTGGGACTAAAGGAAGGGAGATCATTTGATTAGACATTTGTAAAGCAAATAAGCAATAAAACCGGCTATAGATGACTTGAACTAAAAGCTAAGATTTCATGGGGTTTTTATTCTTTCACAGGAGAGTTAAAGCTGTCTTCAGCCGCCCCCTGCAGGAGGGCAAACACTATTAAACACACTTTACCTGATCTGCACGTTCTCTGTTTCTCCGTCAGAAACTAGTCCACCCCACCTCTGGCATTCTGGCTGTATTTGTGGCACTGAACTACTGTGACGTTGTGCACGTGGCTGGATTCGGATATCCAGAGTCCAGGAACCAGAAACAGCCCATCCACTATTACGGAAAGGAGACAATGAAATCCATGAAGGTTGGTTTTAAAGCGTCCGTTCGCAATGAAAAAACTGAGCTGTGGTTGGTGCTTTGATTCTCATATATGTTGCCGTATGTCAAACCGAATGTCGTTGTTGTTTCAGAATTCCTACCATGATCTCAATCAAGAGGCTCTCGTGCTTAAGAGACTTGAAGACCAGGGAGCTATTTTATATCTTCATCCTCATTCCTGACACCCAACATGAACACATGTAAATAAAAACACATAAACGCATGTAAATACGACATTATAGACAATATCTTCATCTTTGGACTGAACTGAAATATCCAGCTCTCACACTGCAGAGCTGTTAGTAGTTTTTGTGAGGTTTCTGCATTTCTGTGTGATTCAATCATATTTATCTGACCTCGAGTATTTATAATTAATGAATATTTTCTGCTTATTGTTTTGCTTTCTTTCGGGAACTTTAATATATATACTGTATATATATCACCACTGGATATTTTGTGATCTTCTTAGAGTAAGTATTTAATAAAACAAAAATATGCATCTTGTTTTTAGATGACAATTTAATTACATGAGTAATACTCATAAGATAAGGGAATAAATACATATTCACAGGACTTTTAGATAACTAAATAATTCTTAAAAACTGCAAATAGGGTGGAAAATAAATGTTGGATAAAATGCTTACCCAAATCAATCGATCAATCAAAATTAAAAAAATAAATAAAATAAGGCCTTCTTTATAGTTCCCATATTTAATATCTTTAAAGGACAAGTTCAGAACAATAATATTTTTACCAGATAGCGATATCCTCACTTTGCACCAAAAGGCACTAGATAATTTGCAAGCAGGAAAAAAAACACACACTCACACTAGAAGAATAGATAAGCTATTTTTTTAAGTAAATCTATTTAATTTTGAGATTAATCTTTCAAATAAGACATTATATTTCAGCATGCGAAGATATTAAATATTTCTCTGAGCAGCAGTGATTGTGAAGTCATGAGCAGAATATCTGTAGCAATGCCTCACATCGCCTGAAGAGGGTGACTGATCTATGTTGACCGCATGAGCGCGCTCTGTTTACAGAGAGAGAGAAACATGAGTCTACATGCATGTGCTCAAGCACATCATATGTACATGATGGCCTCATGTTCACTTTCTGCTTTCTGCTTATTGTTTCGATCTGAAGTGGAAGGAGCTGCCTTTCTGTTTGAGTCAGAGTCATTACTCAGAGCTTCTCAGAACAGGAACATCTGAAGCTGTGTCAGGCAGCAGAGAGTGTTTTTATGTGCCTAAATGTGCTGCCAGATTGCCAGGACTCATTGCTTACAGCCCTTAATATGACTGATGTTTGGTCTCAGCAGCACAATACAGCAAACATATCTAGTGTGAGGTGAACTTCTGGTTCATTCAAATGGCTGTTGCAAACCATGAGCCAGCGGCTTTCATAAATCAGAGCCATAATTGGAGGAGGCATATGAAGGCATCACATGAACGTTCCAGACTGTTCTAGAAGGTAAACATCCTCCTGATGTTTTAGTCAAATTATAGGCAGCAGCACATCGGTACAGCAGTATCCTTTACTGACAGAAAATCAAAGAATACATTGCACCAAATTCAGTGACAAAAAAACTAAACAATCCAAGATGGTTGACAAAGTGAGAGAAATGTCAGTAAATTGACTTTTTATTCAATACTGTAATGATGAAAACTAGTCTGTACAATCATAAATTACATTTTACTCAATATTTGTGCGGTTTACTTTGTGTTTCTTAGAGCTACATTGTTAGCTTAGCAACATGCTAACATGCCTCATAGCAGTGTCTGTTATTGAATCATTCTTGTGAATGATTGTTTGATGAATCAGTTCAAAACCAGTCGAAATTATTAATTTATGACTTCAACTAAAAATAAGTATGCTCAATTGTATTGATTATTGAATCTTGAAATTTCATTTTAAAATACTGTACTTGCAGATAATGTGATATTTACAACGACACAACAACAATGTTTTTTTTATAGAGCACATTTAAACACAACCGAGGTTGACCAAACTACTTTACAAAGAATAAAAAACAGTGAGTAAAAGAAAAGTAAACAGAAAAATAAGATCAACAGAATAGAGCAGGAAACCCAGGATAGCATACTAAGGATTGTTACAAGCCAGGGTGAAAAAATATGTCTTAAGATAAGATTTAAAAGTACTAATAGATGGGACATGCCTGACAAAGGGAGGAAAGCTATTCAAAAGCTTCGGACCAGCAGTAGCGAAGGCGCGCTCACTACAATTTTTAAGTTTAACTCTGGGAACTATGAGTAGGCCAAGGTCACAAGATCTCAAGTTTCTAGAAGGGGTGTACGGAAGCAGAACTTGATAGGGAACCAGTGTATGGACTTTAAGACGGGAGTTATAGGGTCGTATTTTCGCTTCCCTTCAAGCAGTCTAGCGGCTGCATTCTAAACCAACTGTAGATGGGAATTGGACGACTGAGAAATAGCAAAGTACAGGGAGTTACAATAATCAAGCTGAGATGTTACAAAGGCATGGATAGCTGTTTCAAGACTTTTCCAAGATGGAACGGGCTTAACTTACTGAGAAGGTGAAGTTGGTAAAAACATGACTACAGCTGAAATCTATTTGTCAAACTGTAAACTGGAGTCAAATAGAATGTGCAAATTCCTGGCACACTTTGTATTATATGGAGTGTCAGAATTAAAATTTAATCAAAATTAAAAGCAACAGTTTACTTAGGACCAAACAAAATTATTTCAGATTTGTTTTCATTTAGGTGCAATAAATTACTTGAAAGCTATAACAGAAGTTAGTTTAGGCAATCTAACAGTGGCTGAAGAGATTATTTGTTATTATGCTGCAGGGGAAGTTTAAGCTGTATGTCATTGGCATGTAGATGAAAAGAGACACCATATTTTTCAAAAACAGAAGCCAAGGGGAGCAAATACATGGAAAACAACACAGGCCCAAGGACTGAACCTTGCAGAACACCACAACCAAGAGGAATGTTGGATGATGAATAATGCTCAAATTGAGCAGTAAATCACCTATTTGACAAATAAGAGCGAAACCACTGTAAAACCGTACCACAAAGTCCTACTCAAGACTACAGGCATGACAGAAGAATGTTTTGGTCAACTGCAGGGCTTAGGTCAAAGAGGACAAGAGCCATGGGTTTCCATGGTCGTAAGAAATATATAATTTAAGACTCTTAACAGGACAGATTCAATGCTATGTAAAGCTTTATAACCTGATTGAAAAACTTTATTAATAGCATTATCTGACAAAAAAGACTGAAATTAAGCTAGTTCAACTTCATCCATAATCTTTGAGATAAAAGGAAGATTTGAAATGGGCCGAAAGTTGGAAAGAGACATAGAATATATATAATTTTTAAGATACGGTGTTACAGATATTAATTGCCCTTGAGAGACACTTTCATGACTGTTTCTTAACACATTTAAGTAGACTTTTAAGCACACTTTATAATAATGACAAATAAAAAATTTTACCCTGAAGTGTATTTTAATAATCTTTTGTCATGCTTTAAAGTACACTTATTTTGATGTGCTGACTAACATACTAAAGCGCATACAGTATGGAGTACTTTATTCTATCGTTACATTTTACAGTATTGTTGCATCAAGTTTATATATTTTTTACACACAATTGTGAAATTACATATAAAGATACTGAAGTCCTACAATTGCATGTAAATAGTTTAAATAAAATGTAATAAATAAATGTAAACTATAATACATACAATTAATTTCAATTCATTGTAAATAACATTAAACTGATTATCTGAAAACATTGCATTCAGTTCACAATTAAGTAGCTATATTCTTTTCGTAATAAGCACTATTTTTAAAAGTATGCTAAAGTGTACTTATTTTTTCAAAAGGTCTGATTCATAGTTTTTGGAACATATCTAATATGTAATTGTATGGACTATCGAGATGCTCATGTCATAGTCATCAGCCTTTTTTGCTATCAGGTTTTTCCTCTGTATTCTCCATTATTACACACTTAATTCAGTTCCATGCCAGTGCAGACAGAAACTGCGGCAGGAGTTTCTCTATGTAGGGATGGGCGGCCACTCATGAAGTAGTTTAGGGCACAACAGAGTCGTTGAAGTGCGTCACTGGCCCTCTTCTTCCGAGACTGGAGTGTCTGAACAGCGGCGGTCTCGTTCCCCCTGCAGAATCAGTGCAGAAACCTGGATGCATTGCTTTGCCATACCTGATTGGTCATCCTAGTCTGTGTTATGCAACACACAGTTACATAATCGAAAAATATCTGTTTATATGACAACTGAAAACAAGGTCAGTGCAAGTTATCAATGGGACACCTTGTTCAAACATGCCTGTAGATGTCAGTATACGTATGTTTACATGTGAGATTGCATCAAGATTGTAGGCTTCGAGCAGAAAATACCTGTGTTTTTCATCAATAATGCAGGAATGTGTACGATGCACGATTTTTCTTAAATCAATGTTAGAGTAGTTAGTAGTGTATTTGCACATTTAAAATTCAGGTTGAAATGACCCATCGGCTGGTAAATGACAAATGTGTGTGATATTTAAATGCTCAGCTCTGTTCCAGTAATCAGCGTAGCTGCCTTGCATGAAAAGTATATGCAAATGGGAAGTACAGCTAGAAAAGCGGTTGCTCTTCAATAATTTTCTCCTGCAGTACAATGCTGCTGCATCATCATCATGATGCTTGCGTGTACTTCTTGGCTCAGATGCACAAAGAACTTCTGCTTTTTTTCCCAATGATATCAAAATCAGCTCTCTTTACAGACTTGAACCGTTTGCATGTGCCAACAAATTCGTTTGATACTGTTATTTTTTTGTTTGCCGACGGCATTTGAATTCTGAAAGCGTTCTTTGAATGTTAAGACGGCGTTGAGCGGAGATAATGTTATGTACCTGAATGCTGTATTGTGCTCAGTGCACCCACGCTCTCTTAAAAATTGTGCCAAACCTGAACTGGTCTTTTTCCCCCCATGTGATGAACCTTCCCACTCGTTGTGTAGAGCAGGGATTGTGCAGGTAAAAGTGCACACACACTGATAACACGGCGAGTTTTGGTGAAGAGGTAGATATTGGGTTGCTTGTATGTGTATGTGTGTGTGTGTGGGGTGGGTGTGGGGGGGGGGGTAATTTCTAAATCATACGAGGCCCCCAGATAATACTAACCCTGTGTGAATAGGGCTTTAGTGATTACTATCGAGATGTAAAGAGACTTTCAATCAGAATAACACAAAATGGTTTTGAATCAAATCACCCACCTGCCTTTAAGTGTATTGAATGTGAACTCGTTAAAGTATATTTGTAACATACTGTACCTTCAGAAAATATAAAATTAATAAAATAGAATGCCACTTAAGTGCATTTAAAGAGAGACACTTTCATTACTGATTCTTAACACAAGTACACTTT